TGGTACTTATTTATATTTAAATAGAATAGGTTTTACTGGCAAATTAACTATTAAACCATACATTTATTATCAAGTATATGCCCTATATATTCATATTTCTTTTTTTTTGGAAGCTTAGGAAAATGTAATGAATTTAAATATGCATGAGCATGCTCATACTGCATATAAAGGATTCAGAAAGCTCGTTCATCAGGAAAATATGCTTAATAGCAGGTGTGGGTGGCCCAAGACTCACGCTACATTGCCCAGGATCACTAAAGAGAAGAGACAGGCCCCAGATATCCAACGGCACCCCAGATCACTGGGACATAAGGAGGGCGGGATTAGGGACAGCCGCACCCACTGGAGAAGGGCAGACAAGGACCCGACCCCAGAGGGGCCAAACCCAAAGGGGCCCAGTCCCTGGGAGGCCGAACCCAAGAAGCCACAGTGCCACGGTCCCACAGGGTCCCCCAGTGGGGACCCCATAGGACCAAGAGGCTCAGACCTGGCAGCCACAAGGAATCAGACAGCGCCAACTGAAGTACCCAACCCCGCACCTAGAGAACCATCAGCACGCCAGCGGACACAGGTACCTCTCATCAGCATGGAACATGAGAAGGGGAAGGAGACAGGCCCTGTTCATACTTGGGGGCTAGGATGTACCAGTAGGTTGGAGGGAGGCAAAAACTCAACCAACAAGTAGACAAAGGGATATTCCCATAATAATTGAATTATTATTAATACACACCGGAGAAATTCCCCTCTGCATTTGACCCACAGTGCCTTCTTCTCAGGCCTAAGGGCCAATCCTTCTAGTGGGAAACGGCCCACAGACCCAGGGGACATTCCCTGAACCCCTAATTTGGGAAGCGGGCAGGCAGCTTGAGCTCTAAAGAAACAAAAAAAAAGGCTAAGACCGGGTGCCACCCAAGGGAGGGCAGCAGCAGTGTAGCCCAGGTCTAGCCCTAGACACCTGCTTACCCCAACACACCAACAGCGCCGGCCACAGCCCCTCGACGGCATCCCCCCTTAAACTGTACATCCACTCCCACAAATGCCAGGGCAGGTTGCCAACTTGCAGATGCGAATCCCCCCACTCCCCAGCCCCTGCCAGCTGTTTCTGGCCCCCAACTCCATATGTTCCTCTCATACCCATGGTTGCCTGGCAAACGCAACACAGGCAGTCCACCCCTCTAGGCCAAGTATGACATGCCAGCCAACCGAAACCAAGCCTCCAGACACCCCCTAGCGTCCCCCCACCTGACTGAAGGCACAGGCCGCACACAGTGCCAGGGCAGGCAGCCAGGCAGACCCACACCCCAAGCTGAGATGCATCTGGGCATGATGGTTGTATCCCACCTGCCGTACAGGCATACCTGCCAGCTGGCACCTCCATAAGGATGATGCCAAACCGTCCTACGTCCCAGACATCACCCAATGCTTACAGACGGACAAGACAATAAAGCCACAGGATGGGAACCAAAGGCCAGAGAGCCCAAGGAGAGCCAGAAACCCCAGCCAAGCCATGGCCAACCCCAAGCTCCCAGTCTCACCCCCAGGCGGAGTAGAGAGAACAAAAGTGTGAAAGGACCCATGCCAAATTATCCCCCAGATATTTCAAAAAACCAAGCCGGAATAAGACTAGGTGCCTGAAAATGGCTAGTTTTTACATCCTACAGAAAATATTCAGACAAGAAGAGATAAGGTCCCCATAGACAATATTAAAGCAGTTTTTCTTCCACCATAAAAGACAGAAAGGGAGCCCTGCAAACTGACTGAGGTACCTACAAATGTTGAAGATAACTTTTAATGAATGCATATCATTTGCTTAAGTGTCTGAAAATGTACAAATTTAGGGAGAAATGTAGGTCAATAAATGTGAATAAATTTAAGATTTGTATTGTTGACTGCGCCAAAGCACTTAAAACCAAACAAAATATAGCTTTAAGAATGGCAATAATAATAATATGTTTACAAGTAGTTGTGTTTGTTTGTATTTTGTATTTACAACAAAAAACATTATCAGACAACAAAAGATGGTCATTGCTTACAACAAAATCTAGTATTGACTAGACACTTTTTTCCATCCAGACCTTATCAAAAAATATCAGAATTTACAGCGATATAACAATTATTCTATATGGATAAATTGTGTGGCATAAAATAATGATTGTACAAACTTTCCAATACAACTTTTGCTGGTAAATCTGTTAAAGGTTTAATAGAGAGACCTAGAATCATAAAGTTACATTTCAGGATAAATTAAGTACCGCTCATTATATTGAAAACAGACCTGGAAATATAAAACTATAGACTTTTAAAATTAAGACACAAATTTAACCAATTTATTTTCTGAGAACCATTCATGAAATCAGTCAATAGTTTAAAGTCCTGCATTATTACAGTGTTTTGTAGTATCCGTTTCCTAATGTGGTGTCTTTTTCTGACAAATATAGTAATAATTAAACTGGTTAATTATTTTTAGAGAGAGTAAGCTGGATAATTAAAACTAGACAAGGATTTAATTTTGGTGAAATATATTCCACCAAATATCCGAATGTCGCTTAATAACCATAAATTGAGATTAGATAAATATTTCTCAATCATGTTCCATATATCTTTCTTTTCCCTCCCAACCAGAATTGTATTTGTAACTATACCCAAACATTTGAGAGAAGTTTTTATAGATGTTGTAATTAACAATCAGATGAGTGGAATGTGTAAACAACAAGCGATGCCCTGACATTGTAATATTTATCAAGATTACCAACTTTGTTAATAATTGGCTTTGGTACCTATTAATAGTTAATCACTGCCAAACAAACATACTGTCTAACGAAACAGAGCCTTCTGCATTTTGTACAGCCTGCAGGTGCATTACCAAAGAAGGACTAATAACCATAAATTAATGTTCAAAACCAATTTTATTAAATTTATGGATTGTTTTTTTTAATTGATCTAGAGGGAGATAGGCCTTGATTTAAGTTTAAAACGCTTGTCTTTACAATGTTCCTGATCTGTGAGACAAAAAATTGTCAAGACTAACCCAAGGTGCCTAACAGTAAGGTATTAATTGCATAGCTTTAATTTCATAGCTATTTAGAACTTTTGGTTTGACCATATGAGATTTTTGTTTTATATCTTGGAAAAAATGAGAAGTATATCTCAATTCAAGTTAGGGTTAACCTTTTTCTAAAACAACTCTGAGGTTTGAAGACCCATGTGGCTGTTTGTTGGAGCGGACAGCGTTATTTGGTAATCATTTGCACAGGGAGAGTAAGGCTTTTTTAAAGGTCATGAACACACAGGTCACTGTTTTAGCATCATATCCTGCTCACTTTAATGGTGAATGCAGTACTGATTTAATAAAGATACACATAATTAGAATTCTGTCCTAATATATCCTTTTTTTTATATAGAAAATCTGCTGTCATAAAAAAACACGTAAGATAACAGAATTAAAATATGCATAAAATAATGGAAGAGTTATATTGATGTGTTATAGCTGATTATATACAAATTTCATATACATTTGGGAATGATTTTCTCGATAGAGCTTTTTCTGAGACATGTCTGACGTTCGTCCGCCAGCCCAGTAGGCGGCAGTAAGTATATCCGGCATACCCGGAAGTGTATGCTTTTCTTCCGGGCTACCTTGAAGTTCATTGCCCCGTTTGTTAACGTTAGCGAAAAGGGAATTCTTCAATTGAACAATAAATAAAGACAATTAAAATGGCGGGAACGACTTCGGTAGCAGGTGAAGTTTTTGTTGATGCTTTGCCGTATTTTGACCAGGGATACGATGCTCCAGGTGTCAGAGAAGCGGTGAGTAAAACAGCTGCTTACAGAAGTCTGTTAGCTTAGCATGCTACATGCTTATAACAGGGTACCTAATTGTGCTTTGCAAGCTTGCAATTAACTAAAAACAGAATAAGACGATTGAAATGTTTGATTCGACAAATCCTTGGAAACATTAAATATAACAAAAAAAAAAAAAAAAAACAGTTCTCGCATAGCAAGTTTGTAGCTTGAGGCCATATCGAGTATAAACCGTGTACCTATGGACTTAAATTGAATAATTAGCTAATATATCCTTTAAATCTCCGGATTCGGCTTGTTCTATAATCAGCTTTAGGTACCTGGAGAAGATCAGTGCATCTCCACTGATAACCTGTGATTCTAGCTTTAATGTAATAAAGTGAATATTGCTTAAAACAGCAATTTTTAACACCTTTAGGCATTTCCGATTGAGGTCAGCGTGGAAAAGGAAAGACGTGGCTTTCGAAGCTTAATTTTTAAAGCTGCTAATACAAAATGGGATTTGATTTTTGACAAGATGTTCCATTAAAAAAAAAATCAGCTGCTTGTTGTCAGTAGTTGGAGAGTTTTGGGTTTGTTTGAGTAGAGATCTATTTTGATGTGGACTGTAAATTGTTTAACAACGGAGACAAAGTTTTTGCCTGTTCAGGATCTACTTTTTTTATTTCAATTCAGTATATTTCTATAGCACCAATTCATAACACATGTCACGTCAAGGCACTTTACAGTTCTCCAGATCATACAGTCAAACTGATTCAAAGTTTTCTATCTAAGGAAAACCAGCTGATTGTATCGATGTATTGACTCCAATGCAATCCCTCACACTAAGCAGGCTTGTAGTGACAGTGGAGAGGAAAAACTCCCTTTCAACAGGAGGAAACCTTCAGCAGTACCAGGCTCAGTGTGAGTGCTGATTTCTACCAATAAGGCTATTATTAAACTGAGGCACAATCACTTAGACTTAGACTTCTTTATTTGTCATTTTGTATGCACAGGGTGCATACAGAACAAAATTGCGTTACATACAGCTTATGAACGTTGCATTGATATTTCAAATGGCACAAGTTATAGAAAAATACAAAAAGTGCAGCAGTGGTACAAAAAGTGCAGCAGTGAATGAAAATCTCCGCAAGTTGGTCGGAGCTGTATGCCAGCCGCTGCCGCCAGGGGCGCCACCATCTTATAACATACTTTATAATAACCGGATGGTATTAAAATTTACTAATGTGTTTAGCTTATTCTTTTCATGTCTACCATTTTACAGAACTAAGAGGTGGAGACTTGGCAGATTTTTGCTGCTAAACAATTATTCACACATGCTGGTGAAGATTTTCAGTCATCCAGGTCATAGTCATTCCAAAAAAAGTATTAAAAAAAAAAACTAGATTGGCTTTGTTTTTGGTCCACTCTATAAAGCCTCAAAGTCAACGCTATTTCTGACATTTTGAAGTGAAAAAAATTGCTGGCAGACCATCTGGCACCGGCTCTTGTGCCACTTCCACGATATGCGCCTGCTGCCTCTCCATGTCATGGTACATGTTTACTATTAATCCACTTTAACATAGCAGCCTTGCTATTCTCAGTACATGGGTTCCCTATTGAAGTTTCATCAAACATTTGCGCTTCAGACTGAAATAAAAAATGCAAATTCTGTTATCAGAGCTATTCAACATAGGAGAGAAGGAAATAAAATGTTTTCCAGGTTCTGGATACAGGAGTCATGAACAGTTGACTCTAAAAGCAGCAGTGGGGCTGGTTTTGCTGATTTGGGAGTCAGATCATTCTTGGAATTGAAGGCTTTTGGTTTGTAGTATGGATCTGTTGTTAGCAGAGAGCTGGTCTTTAGGCTGTCTGAGTGCTTAAATACAGTTCTCGCATCGTGTTTAAGCATGTCGCATCTCCTGGACCCGAACAGGTCTCTGTCCTCACTCCTAAACGCCTCCCCTTGTAAACCAGGATTTATTGTCGTTACTCACACTGTTGCCGTTGGTATGTAGCTGTCTTTACTGAAGCTAATCCTAGTCAGTGCAGTCCAAATACACTTCTACATCCTCTACAGCTTCTTTGGTCCACTTCCGGTTTAGATTTTCAACTTCAGCCTATGTGCAGGAAATGTGTCTCTCAAGGTCGAATGCATCAGCAGAGTCTTCAACCAAATGAAGCCCAATGTTTAAATAAAATCTGAACCTTCGGCTAGCACCATTGGTTTCTGTAAATTTGTTGTTAAAGCTGAAAGTGAAACATGTTCTTTTTTAGTTGTCATGATCAGCTCATTTTGCTACCTAAATCTTTTTCAAAACAGGAAGCTGTTATCTCTTGGACATCAAGCATTATCAGTGTTTTCAGGTCAAACTTGAAAGGACCCAGTTCTTTACTCAGTTCATCCAGGTTAGAATAAATTGATTCATGTTCACAGTTTGATCTCATCCTAAATCTCTTTCATTCTTGTAAGGAAAAAAGAAGGCATTAAAGTAACAAAATCAGTAATCATCATTCCAGCAGTATTCATTTAACTCTTGTATGAGTACAAGAGCATTTACAGAGGAAGACATGTCTTCAAGACAGTCTGCATCTTTTCTGACCCAACTGAGAAAGGAACGCAATGGTGCCTATTTGAAAAAAGGTCTGCATGATTCTACAAGAAATCAAAATTGTTTTTACTTCAATTTTCCTTCACCTTAACATAAAGTATAAACAAGTTTGGCTTCAGACTTTTAATGTTTTCATTGCTCTGAATGATCTTTTGTCTAAAGTCGCAACGCAGGACTTTACTGTTATGTGAAAAGGTGTTTTTTTCTTTAGCTGGTATCCAGGGGTCTCTGCCCTTCTCTGAGGTGGAAATAAAAAAAAATGTTTTAGGTCTATTACCATCACCTACAAAGCTGTGCTGAAAAAGTTATTGTCTTACTTTGGTTGGAATTAATGTAAACAAAAATGCACTCCCTCTGTGATTTGGAAATGTCTTTTATTGTTGCACTTATATTGTAAATGCAGTTATTGTTGTTTGGTTTAAATCCAGAGAAATGTGAGTTTAAGAGGACGAAATGATCAAACACAGACAGGGATTTTGCAACGTCTGCCTCTACACAGGGGAGAAGAACTGCTGGTACACAACCAGCACCTTTTCTCCCAGATCCCTTCACAGCAAAGCCTTTTATTAACAGTTTACAACATAATAGGGCGGGTCTTAAACAGAAAACCCTGTAATGATTATCTGTCAGGATCTGGCTGGATGGAAGTCACACAACAGTGTGACTTCCTACTGGATGCAGGTCATAAAAGTTTATGACCCTCCTGATTGAATCACGGGACAGAAATGTAGCATCCTATTTCTTCAATGTTTCATATGCCCACACAATAATTTTATAATTATAACTCTAACAATTGTCCAGCCCTACTAAGAGGTGAAGTGAAGGACAGTGATTTTTCCCTCATTGTAACTGTTAATGGGTAGTTTAACCTCTTTAAAGCTTGTGTGTTAGAGATAAATGGGTGGATATAAAGGTCTAAGAATGTTGATGATGGCTGAAAAACAGATCGTTCAGTCAGAAAACCCTAAAAAAGGAGGAGTATTGTGGGCTTTTATATGTTGAGTGAACTGACAACGGTCAATCTGCTGAGGAATACCAGCTGTAAAAGAAAAACACACAGCGCATCAGGACATCAGCTTATTTCTAACTTCTTTCAAATAGCGGATTTTCTTTTCTGCTAAAAATGTACCAGACGTGATTCCTCTGTCTCCTTTTAGGCGGCAGCACTGGTTGAAGAAGAGACCAGAAGGTACCGACCGACAAAGAACTACCTGAGTTACCTGCCAACGCCAGACTTCTCTACTTTTGAGGTAATCAGACCCCTAAAGGGACGTGTTACTGTTTTAGACAATTATCAGAAAAGTAAGACTTTGTTTCAATAAAATAAGAGAGGATCAAGTTCCCCATAGTGTTAGTGCATTTGCAACGAACAGAAAGATACAGATTAGAAGATGAAGAAAAAAAATGGTTATGCACAAAATTTAAAATGAGACATGTTTCTCTTTTTTATTTATTTATTTTTTTTATTGCTCTGCAGACAGAAATTATGAGGAATGAATTTGAGCGGCTGGCAGCTCGGCAGCCCATGGAGCTCCTGAGCATGAAGAGGTAAAAGCTGCTTTTATGTTGACATATTTGGACATAAATGAATCCTGTTAATTATTCTGAAAAGCATATTCTTTAAGAAATATCCAGGCAGTCTGATAGATGTGGAGAACTTTTGCTGGACATATTGAAGCAAATATTATCTAGTCAACAGAATATCTTGCTGACAAACCTTAGAGTGCATCACAGCTGGAGGAACTGAACTCCGACCTTACCTCTGGGATCTTGAGTTCTGATCCAGTAACCTTTAGAACCACAATGCAGACAGTGCGCTGGTACACCTGTATGTTTCTTTTTACAGGGTTTCCGCAGATCATTACAAATCATTAAAAGTAATTATTTTTAAAATGAAGGCTTTAATTGGCATTAAAATCATTAAATGTGATTATTGTATGTGTGTGTGTATATATATATATATATATATATATATATATATATATACACAATAATCACCTTTAATCATTTTAATGCAAATTAAGGCCTTCATTTATTGCCAATTAAGGCATTTAAAATGCTTTATTTATGAAAAATACGATTGTAAAAACAATTTTGTCAGATAAATTATATTGCAAATTATATCGGAGCTGCTTCCGCTTGATCGTAAAGCCGTATGTTTGCAAAAGCAGGTTGAGGTTGAGAAAAAGCTAAAGAATGGGGAAAATGCTAATTTCAACAAAAGTGGCTGGAAAAAGGGGAATTCGGGACATAGCTGCAGCCTGTCAACGGTAAAGATGACAAAGGATTTCACATTGTTTTATTTATATATATATATATACGAGAGTCATGGGTAGTGTTGCACCAATACCAGTATCCGGCGGGACACCAATCCAGCACTAAAATGGTGGTATCAGTATCAGCGACTACCAACAAAAAGGGCACTGATACCATTTTTAGAGCCAAAAGTTTATTCAACTATTGTCACCCATTCCAGATAGGCAATAAAAAGTTCTACTGGATTCACTTTGTATTAGTCTTTTTCCTGATTCACAAAGGTAGGCAGCAGCTTGACAAAGCCATGATGGCTATTATGTTACATCCAAGTAGTATGCAGTTCTTCTTACATACATACATCAATTTCAAACCGATGGTATCGGTCGATAACGCACAGCCAGGTATCGGTATCAGGGCCAAAAAATTGCATTGGCACAACATTAGTCATGGGTACTTGTTGATCGTATTAAAATTATTTCTAAGAGAATTAAAAAGCATTAAATTGGAGTTAATCATTCCTGTATAAAACCTGTTTTACTTAGTACTGAAACCTTTGTTTTTGAGGTATGAGCTGCCGGCGCCTACATCGGGACAGAAGAACGACATCACGGCGTGGCAGGAGTGTGTGAACAACTCCATGGCTCAGCTGGAGCACCAGGCGGTCCGCATCGAGAACCTGGAGCTCATGTCGCAATACGGAACAAACGCATGGAAAGTCTACAACAGGTGAGCAGCATCTGCCTTCTGCTTCAGGCGGTGTGGTTTGAACGCAGCTGACTGTGTCTTCCCCTTTTCTCTTCCTCAGTAACTTGGCCTTCATGATTGAGATGGCTCAGAAGGAGCTTCACAAGTTCAGGTGAAGCTGGGTGGATGGTACTTGCTTTGAAAATATAAGTTTAAGTCCTTCTTTAATTAATAATGTGTTGAATTTGCTTTTCATGATAGAAAGCAAATTCAAGATTTGAACTGGCAGCGGAAGAACGACCAGTTAGCAGCTGGAGCCAAACTACGCGAGCTGGAGTCAAAGTATGTCACAGTGTGAAGATGGAAACCTAGCTGGGGTTCTTCTGGGTCCTAACGTCTGCTTGTTTCCATCCGTAGCTGGGTGTCGCTGGTCAGTAAGAACTACGAGATCGAGCGGGCCATCGTCCAGCTGGAGAATGAAGTCGGTCAGCTCAGACAGCAGCAGGGGGACGAGAACAAGGAGAACATCAGACAGGACTTCTAGAGAAAGACCGCCCGAGCTCTGGACTCTGATGGCTTCTCAGGAAGACGGACTGCTTTCAGCTCTGGCTATGAAGCCATCTGAGGAAGTCGACCCAAAACCACCAATTTAAACTGACTAAAAACAGTAGTGGATTAGTTCTACAGTTTCAGAGAGCTGCTGAAAGAGGCAAGTTTCTTTGAGTGCTTCTGAAACACAGACAGCAGCTTTTACCCTCTTGTTTCATTTAGCATCACTGATCACTTTACTTCTGTAGACCTTGGAGGATGCCTTTTTTCCAGCAGGTTTTTTTTTTTTTTTTTTTACGGCGGAGGAGTGAATTGTTAAACTTCACCAGCTCTACATCCTGTCAGTTTTTTTATATTATAAATTACATATTTGTAATAAAAAGGAATTTGTTTCATGGTGTTTGTGTCTTGTCATTTTCTGCTCATCTACTTTCTGTTTTCCAGCTCTGGTGGAAGGTTCGCTTCCATTCACCGTGGTTTTGAATAACACCAACTTTAGGGGTTAAATAATTCAGCTGACGGGTTCCTATATCAGATGGAAAAGGTTTAAGGAACCAACACAAACAACACTAAGTGTGGATTTAAAACAGTTTTTCTCTAAATCAAATAACAATAAAACAAAACCTATTAAATGGGCTTTATGGTCCTTCAGAGAGTCTTGTCTGCTTCCAAATGAGATTCTGTCTCTCAGCAGAATTAGTAAAGTTCACCTTAAATGGGTGTTTGGGCATAGGAGAGTCAGATCCAACATGTCACCTTTAGAGGAAAGAAGAAGAAGAGCAACAGAAACCATAAATACTTGAGCTTGACCCTAAAAAGTTCACAGCAAACTTCAGTGAAGACTGGGAGGCCAGCTGAGGAACAAGTGTTTGCTCCAAAATGGATACCTCTGTTAGGGGAAGGCCAGCCTAATATTTACTGGCCACATCATTTGGGCCATAATGACACGATCGAAATGAGTAAAGGAGCATTAACAGTCAAGCACGGTGGTAGTGGTATCATGGTAGGTGGCAGAAGGTGAATGCATCAATGTTGAAAATAAACAGAAGCTTGATGGCTGCTTCTGAAAGAACATAAATCATAACGTGGTATCGGTTACTTGGAAGTGTTAAAAGGTTTAGTGGAGGATGTTCCGTTTCTGGGTCGATCATCAAAATAAGAGGTGGTCCTGGTCACGTAAGGACATAAAGCTTGTCCTTTTTCTGCGCATGCTCACTTTCAGGTGTAATGTGTGGTGAGCTATGGTTTCAGTCAGTTCACTTTCTCACCACCGGTTAGTGAAAATACATTTTCACTAACATATGGAAAAAATTGCATATCTTCTTTTGGAAAGTAAGCTTGTATGAGCAAGACGGTTTTAAATAGAGCGTGAACGAGAGGAAATGGGCTTGGGCACGCTCTCGCACAAGTTTAATACGTGTTCCCTCTAAGGAATGGGTACAGGGTTGTGCTTGTGGGCGGGATTTTTTTTCCAAAATTCGGGAAAATGCTCCCTTATGCCTCTAAAATAACCAGCCAACTAAAAAAAACCCAGACGATGTAAAAAATATTGTGAATGAGGTCTTTGAAAGTTGAGTGCAGGGTGCTATATTTATGCTAATGACAACAGAATGCAAGCTGCTTAAAGTCTTTACTGCAGAAATATAATTTAATGTACCAATCAAATCAAAATGTGAACTAGAACCTGACCTATGAATCATCCAAGAATAAAACGCTCTTAAACATGAATGAAATAGTTTGTGTGAAGATGCACCATCCTAACAAAGAAGCATTAGAAACAGGAAGCCTGTAACCAAGATGTCCCCACTTTCATGAAATTAGCAACGTTTAGCAAAACAGATTGTGGCTAAAGAAGTTTCTTTATGAAATCACAATTGATTTGTAAAACAGAGTTCCCGTTTTGTGAGTAAAATGGCTAAACTTTAAATGCTTGAAGATTAAAACAGAAGGTCACTTTGAAAAATAGAAGTGATTTAGTGGTTTAAATGTAACATCTTACACTAGTATCAGTAAATTGTCATTTATTAACAAGTATTGCCACATTCCTTCCAATGTCACCTTCTCCCTCTTTGATCACAAACTGGATGGTCTGAAGTCCTGTCAGCTCAGTTTAAGGTCAATAGAAACAGATTATCTGCATGTTGGTCATTGGAAGCCAGCTGTCCAGCACAGAAAGGAGAGAGGCAGACTATAAGGTAGATCAGTTCTAAATACACAAACAGAACAGAAATTCGTCAGACTCCAGCAGAAACACAGATACTCGTGTTCTGTAACGTTTTCTCTAACAACTTTCATACGTTTCACTCACACAGGTTTGCAGGCACCGTCATCCTGTTTGCAAAGAAACTGGAGTTTTCTTTAGGAAAAAATAACAACAAAAAACAAACATTCCCTGTGAAAGAATCACTGATTTCAACTGTGCAAAACTGGACAGCCACTGGTAGCAAAAGTAGCAGTTTTGGCCATGGCCCGGTCTATATACTGAGAGTGTTCAGAGCTGGTACTAGAGTCACAGCCTCTGGCAGGTTCTGGTTCTGGTCATGGCCTCCTTTGCTCTGAAGAAACTTCTGTCGATGCCTCTCCTCTTGGCGCTTCTTCTTCTCCTGCCGCTGCTGCTCTTTTCTCTGTTTGCTCGACAGCTGGGAAGGGTGGAAAACAAACATGATTAGGACTTATTGTTGAGGAGGAGCTCTGCGGTTAGGAATAAATAAATGGGTTTGGACGATCCGTAAGATGCATGAGCATCAGAGGAGAAGACACTCAGGGATTAATTAATTAATCAGTCATTTCTTTGAGCTGCTGAATGCACTCTGTGAGATTACAAACATTGTGAAGCTAGAGCTTTTCCTCTGAATAAATGGAGTCACCAGTGTCAATTTTACTTCTGCCTGATTGAACAATATTCAATTATCTGGTTAAATTGATTTATTTTACTCAGTATAAGAAAAGTAACTTTTCAGATTCTGAATTGAGATTGATGATTAGATTCCACTGCGATGGACTGGCGACCTGTGCAGGGTGTACCCCGCCTCTCGCCCATTGACTGCTGGAGATAGGCACCAGCACCCCTCACGACCCACTCGGGATAAGTGTGCTGGAAGATGGAAGGATGGATGGATTACATTCCAAAAAAAGGAAATTAAAAACAATCCACTGGACTTTGTTTCCAAGTTTGAAGATTTTTCGCTTCCCATCCAGGAAGCTTTTTCGATTCAAAATGGCTGGAATAGCATTGAGTTTGAGGTTTATACAGTAGCCCAACAAAGCCTTGCTTTTGTTTTGAAAACATGCAAATTGCAACGGATGAAGGGGTCCATCCCTTTGGAATGGGGATCGTTTGGCCTCTTTTGTTAGCCTGCAATGCCCCATACCCGTCTAAGTGTCTGAAAGGGGGGTTGTTAAAGGCAATTGTTGGCCAGGCTGAATAGGCGAGGTCCTCTACTCTCCTGTACAGGGGTTGGGGCAGCAATGATAATGGGAAAGGATTAACTTAATTGCTGCATTGTAGGTTTTTGAGACCGCCTTCTCTATTTAAGGTTGTTTTTCTTTCTTAACATAGATGGCTTCCCTCACGCCCCTCTCATACCACCTGTTTTCTTTGTCCAAAATGTGAACATTCTGGTCCTCAAAAGAATGTCCTCAGTCCATAAGGTGTAGATGTACTGCAGTCTTTTCCCGAGGAGGTCACTCTTATGTTTTGGGCCATGCGTCTGTGGAAAGGTTGTTTGGTTTCTCCAATATGAAGATCAGAGCATTCCTCACTGCACTGAACTGCATACACCACTCCGCTCATATTTGGTCTGGGGGTTTTGTCCTGACATTTTCAATTGAAAAAAAGCGAAACGTCTTCAAACTTGGAAACAAAGTCCAGTGGATTGTTTAAAAAAAAAATGTTTTTTTGGAATGACTATGACCTGGATGACTGAGAATCTTCACCAGCGTATTGATGATTACAAATATGATAAATTCTGTTTTTAAACTGAAAACCATTTGCACAAGGCAACTAATCAGCGTCAATCGAACCAGTAGGTGGAGACAAAGTTTTTCAAAGGTGATCTTTGACGTGTAGAATTTACATCAACAAGCATGGGTGGGACTCTTAGCTAGGCTGTGTGGCTGTTTAAAGTCCGTTTGTAAAAGCAATCTACGAGCATCAAATATTCATTTATTTTATATGTTTTAACCAGTAACCTTTTTTTTTTAAAATAAGGACAGCATTTTTTAAAGATGAATATCAAACGATAAAAAATGGCTGAATTTTACTCATGTCATATTGGAGAATCCATTATTATATTTCATATAAACGGTTTAACAGAAGCAGGCCGTTTTCTTTTGGAGTTGCTTTCCTGACTGTAAAGAGCTTCCTGCTAATTTGCTTCCCCTTTAATATCATCATTATTACAAATATACTGAATAATCTTGTTTCCATTAAAGAAAAAGTATATATAAAATCCGTGGTGGCCCTAACAAGCAGTATATTCTATCCATTAATTCACCTTGAGTTTTTGAACATTGCTGCCCTCTCCTGGCTGGTTCAACTCGCTGCAGTCTGTGGCTCCAGCTCTGCAGGCTGAACAGGACCCTGATGTGCATTTGCCCTGGCAAGGATGGCCAAGCAAAGAGCCTGCTAGCCATTCAGAATTTATTGTTGCTGCACTTAGCTGGAGCAGGTTCTCCTCTCCACCTACAGAAGGAAAAAAACACAGAGAAATGATCTGTAACTCTTCACATCATATGCAAACAAGCAACTTCTAAGAGTGACTGAAGGCTAATGATGGTCTAACCCTGGATTCCTCTATTCTTGATGGAGTTGAGGATCACGTTTTCGTCTTCGCATTCTGTCGGCGAGGGTTTTTTCTGTCTGTCCCTCTGACCGTCTCCAAACTCACGCTGCTCGCCTTGTGAGTTCTGCAGCATCTGTTAACAGCGAAAGCGTCTCAGTTAGAACAGCATTACAACTGTGAGATCTCAATGTTACAAAAAACATTTTGATATGACTTGATGAATTTGGACAAAAAAAAAAAAAAACACCTCAATGCGAAGCTGTGCAGGACTCTCAGAGTTGTCTCCAATCCGCCTCACACTATCATAGTGATCCCCGTATCGGTAGGCGATGTGTAACTCTCTGCACACCTGCTTCTCAGCACCATTTATCTGCAAAGATGATACAACGCTGGTGAAATACAGGTCCTATGGTTAAAAGTACTAACTCATGTGATGTAATTCCATTGCCTCATCCTGTGGTTTGACACCTACCTCCCAAAGCGGAGCGTTTAGCTGATGAATGACCACTTTCACTTGCTGACTGCGAGCAAAAGCTACGATAGCGTCATTTCCAGCAAAGGTACCAGGCTGAGCGAGGTTAGACACTGTAGAAAAAAGAGAAAAAATAACACAGACAATTGGTTTACACAATTTTTAAAAGACACAAAAGAATTAGAAGATTCAAAATTAAATCGATAATCTATAATGGACTAAAGAATTTAGCCCTTCAAATGTAAAAATGGCTTTTGTCTTATAAAAGTAATCTATAATGAAATATTAAAATGTAGTGATCCCCAGGGCTCACTAAAAAAAACACAGAATAGTTAACTTTGGTCATGATTTTATTATTAAGAAATATCCTAATAACATATTTTTTTTCTAAAGGCTTTGGTTGTTACTTACAGTGCTGTGGAAAAGGTACATCATCTTCTACGAAAGGCTCAAAGTCTTGTCGATGGGACATCATGTACTGGACGGTCTCCTGGCGAAGCTGCAGATGACCCCGTGAATGCCCCTCTAACTGGTCACCCAGAGCCCTGAACAGACAGTTCCTGTAGGAGACAGAGTCCATGTATAATGACCGCTGTACAACATGACTCACTGTCTCAGAGAAGGAATTGTTCCAGCTCATCCATTAGAGAGCGGTTGAAAGGTCTCTTTTGAAAAAATAAGTTCAGGATCTATAAAGCAGGAACATTATTCTTTAATAGAAATATTCAGTTTTATCTTTATAATTCGATAAAGACTAGAATAGAGTCTAAAGAGATTTTTCTCAACAGAAATAACTAAAAACTAAACAGTATTTCCACCTGAAGGAGAAAAAAAAAGGTTTAGAATTGGTTAAGACAAGCAGAGTTTTAAAGGGGTGGTAGAACGATTATATAGGGTATTTGGTGCTGGTCCTTCAGGTCTCTGAATAGGGTGTGTAACATTGGTTGGGCTGGAAATGGCATATTTGCTGTTCTATGAGCTCTAATACAAGCCTGGTTTAAAGCCCTAGAATGAGACGACAGCTTTTCTTCATTTAATGGTATGATCATGAATATTTAGATGACCTGTGCACTGATTGGTTGGTTTACAACGAGCAAAGCTGCTGAGCAAAGACGCATCATAGCAACAAGCACTCACTCACTGAAACATCAAACTGTTGATATGGTAGGGTGATCAGACATCCTCTTTTTCCCGGACATGTCCTACCTGTCATACCTAAAAAATGTCTAGGGGGAATTTCAAAATTGTCTGGTATTTTGGTCGACTACAGTGCAGCATGTAGCTGAAACACACTGGGCATTCGAACCGAGCAGTCAGCTCCAGGGCTGGTCCGCGAACGCCGGTGGACGGGGGCAGGGAGCCAGCGGGGGACGGAGTACAGGCCAGAACCACATAAGGCTACAACTTCATTTGGATTCGCTTGTTTTATGGTGAGAGTTTGGAATTGTGAGATTTGCAGAGAAAGGAGGTGTCGATGGGGTTCGAACTTCTCTGTACGTCCATTTCACCCACTGAACTATACTTATTCATCTATGACAATGTAAACTATGTTTTGCATTCTATAACCCCTTTAAATCCCATTTAGGTGCAGATGCTTTAGAACAAGTCTAGATAATGCCTCCAAAACAACATTAAAACAAATTATTTTAAGTGCTTTGGTGTAGCTGTGGGTACTTTTCTTAGCATGATAAGAAACTGGATTCATGACAGTGGTACAATAGGAATTAATGATGTTTAACCCCTCCATCCTGTCTGCAGTTAGAAATGTTTCATCAATAAATTTGAAAATGTTATTAAAAACCGTTACAGTCTGCAGTTCAGTGATGAAAATCACATTTTGCTTCTTTAAAGAAGTATTTTTACTTTTTGGGATCTGATTGCTTTTTAGTAACTTAAATAGACTGTAAAGCAGTTTTAAATAAATCCATCAATATATTTTAGCATTGTCACAATAAATACCAGGAATTACAATGATAAACATTTAAGTTACACTTGCAACCCCACCTTTATAGCAGCCATTTCCACAAATGGAGGCACAACAAATTTTTCTTTTTGGTTTTGCAATACTCTCTCAAAAAAAAAAATCCAGATTATTTGGAAAACCTTTTTTCCTATTAACTTTTAATATGAGTATATGCTTAGTGCATTTTACATTTACTCAGATTATTTTAATATAGATCAAAATCTCTTTATCTGAGACAAAACAAAAACAAATAGGGAGAAAATACCAGCCTACATATACTGTATTCTACATGCAGAAGGTTGGTTAAAATCATTGTTGTTTTAACAGGGGTCCTAATCTGTCCATCCATCCATTTTTTGAGACGAGCCTAATCTGTCAAACTATCCAAAAAAATGACTATAAAGCATAAAGTTTTGTGAAAATTATTTTATCAAGTGAAATTTGACAAGGTTTATACTGAACTCGTAATTCACAAAAATAACTTAATATGAAAAGATTGACTGATAAACAGAGGCTGAAGCAAACGGGTATGAATACATTTCTTAGGGGTAAGAAATGGAAGCAGGAAGGAAGGAAACGGACATCTTGAAATCGGTAACAAATTGGCAAAGGATCAAATTAACTGCTTAGTTTCATTTTTACTATTCTGATTAAATAGTTTAGGTTATGTTTTTATTTAGTTCAGTATTTATCAAAACAGTAAATTCGAGGTGTATTGGTAAATGGAAAAAGATAAAAAGAAACTTCAAAATTGAAAGGATCAAACACCAAAATCAACATCTTAAAAATATACTGCTAAAAATAAAAATACATCAATAGATTACCACTTCTTATAGATATTAGATTTCTAATGAAAACGAAATGCTAGATATCCGTATCGATATGGTGTTCAGGAAATAAAGGAATGCCAATTCATTTAAGGAGAATGAAAATTATCATCCTGAATGAGGGCTGAATCTGAAGTCACACAGAGGGAGAAAATTAAAAACCAGTGCAGCCAGTTGGTTTAATTTCCAGAAATTGTAGTACAGCAACTAGAATAAATGGTCCTTAGCAAGGCAAACTAAGCTCCTGGATGGTCTGAGGAGCAGCCTGGGGGTGATAAATAGACCCAAACATGATGTCCTAGACAGAAAGTTCCTGCACTCTTATCACATGAAGCAAGGCATAATCATTCACCAGGAGGAACCCAAAGCTCCCTGCACCAGAGAACGGTTCAACAATATCTTCCTTTAATTTTTTTACAGTCTATTTAAGATTTTCCACTTCTTACCCGTCACCTGGGACCTCTCTCAGCTTGAGCCCGAGCGCTTGGAGCTGATTGGAGAAGCTGACGTACTCGGCCCCTTCATCGTTATCCTGAGGGCGGTTCTTTCTGTCTTTTGCAATGGCACGGCGTGCTGCTCGTTCATCCCTCTTGCGCTCAAGTTCACTCTTTTTATTGGTCCTCACAGTTTTCGCTGTCTGTTTCCGAGACATTTTAGCTCGATTTGTTTTTTTCGGGCCCAAAGCACCAAAGAATGTTCTGTTTTGGTAATGAGCTGGTACTTCATTAAATACTCCCACTCTTTGTAACGTCTAAAAACAGACACAAAGACAGGTAGGGAAATTAAATCTAAAAATGAAAAATTTTTTTTTTTTTTACTTTCAAGAAACAAAAAAGTACAATAACCATATCTAGCATAACTAGAATCCAAGGCAGGTGGCAGAGACAGACAGAGAAGTACTGAAAATGCTAAATATTATTAAATATAAAATACACATCTTTTATTTGCCTTTTTCCTAAAAAAAACTTGCAAACATAAATAGATATTCTACAAAGCAGCAATAGAAATTATTTATTTTTACTGAAGTCCAAAGGGAAAGTTCAATAGCATTTGCCAATGCTGTCTCCCTTAATTACTTTTTTTAACTTAAAGAAGAATAAAAACATTTTTAGAAAAAAGGATTCAGTTTAAGGCGAAGCATAAATTTTGATTAAATAATTTTAACAGGTAACATACCTGTGTGGAACTATAAAAAGAAGCAAAAATAATTTCAATTGAAGCTAAAATAAGCTATAATAATGTTAGATAAAATATGCATTTTTTTTATATGTAGACATAAGAACAATAATAAATAAATAATCGTAGTTTTAAGTACAACATATACCATATTTTCTTTGAATCTACAGAAAAAAACAAAGATATATGAAGCTCATATTAGCTAGGTAATTAGCTTCTGTTTAGTGCAGTCTGTTCTAGTAGGAAGCCTGCAGTCAGCTTCTATACAGAGCTGCTACTTGGAGCTTTATAATCAGTCTATATGCCATCTGTTCATGTTATTTCCAGTGGACAGCATTTCCAATCAATTTTTTTTTCCAAGTAAAGGAAAATTATTGCAGCCCTTTGTCAGCCAGCTGACCGACAGTGTAAAGTAACAAGTAAACCACAAAGAGCAGTGCAGTGAACCATGAAGCCAGGTAAACCTAGTCAGTTTAGCACTTTTCATCTAATTAAAGAACTTTAAAGTGGCTTTAAAAACACTTCAATTCATACCTCGAAACCTGTGACTGTCCCATACATAATCTAAAGTACAGCCTTGGTTTGTTATTGCCATTGGATGGGAGGCAATAACAATTGCTGTTGCAATTTACTTTTTATGGTATGAATGTGTCCATCACAAATTATAATTGTTTCCATTTAAAAATCAGAAAGATTGGATAATTGAAATTTGAAACTGTTCTTAAATAACACTTCAACAAGAAGTTAAATTAGTTTTTTTTTTTTTTCAAGCTGGACACTGACAATATATACCAAACTACATAGAACAATATTAATCTACAGCCAATCTACTAGCCATAGATCAGCCAATATACTAAAAATTATTTATTTCTTTGGGACATGTGAGCATTTTTTTTTCTGTAACAGGAGCAGCATAGCCTAACCAAAAGAAACACATGTTAAGTTTTCAGTGGAATGTTTATTTTTTATAGAAAGACAGTTTTGAATAAATTTATTTTTTATTATTCCTAATTAATCATTACTTGGATTTCATGCAAGTATTTATTTGATGCAAGCATTTAACATGTAAAAAACTCTGTTATAAGGTTGAGCCATATAAGAAAACAAAATAAATGAATGGGTATGTAAATAGAAAGTAAACTTTTAACTAACTTTGAGATGATATTTCCGAGGAACACACCTGATATCCAAACTGAAAACTAAGAAAGATCAGTTTCTTTGCTCTTCAAAACATTTTTAAATGATCTTTAAGATGATAACGGATAATAAGAGGGTAAAATAAGCTGTATTTTCAGCTAACATTATGTGTTTCTTTTCCTTTTTTTTAAAGCCATATGGCCGAAAAAATAAAAAAAAGGAAAA